TATTTTACCATATGTACACACCCCATTTTGTTTATCCGTCTGATATGGTTTGGGTCTGTGTCCCCACCCACATCTCATGTCGAATTGTAATCCCCGGTGTTGGAGAAGGGGCCTGGTGGGTGGTGATTGGATCATGGTGGTCCTTTATGAATGATTTAACACCATATTCTTGGCACTGTTCTCATGATAGTGAGTGAGTTATTGCAAGATCTCATTGTTTAAAAGTGTGCAACACCTCCCCACCCCCTGCTCCTGTTCCCACCATGTGAGATGGCTTGCTCTCCCTTTGCCTTCTGCCGTGATTTTAAGTTTCCTGAACCTCCTTGGAAGCTCCACAGATGCCAGCATCGTGCTTCCTGTATAACCTGTATAGCCTGTGGAACTGTGAGCCAATTAAACCTCTTTTCTTTATAAATTACTGAGATATTTCTTTATAGCAACTCAAGAATGGACGAATATACCATCTATCCATCAGTTAATATTTGGGCTGCTTCTACCTTTTGGCTATTGCGAACAATGTTGTTATAAACATGGGTGTAAGAGTGCATTTTAAAACTGGCTACCAAAGTAGACAACTAGAGTTTTATCCCATGGAAAACTCTCTGGCCTGTTTATTTTGTAGAGACTTCTACCAGTCACTTGTGGAGGGCTGCTTGGTGGGGCATAAATTCCCCAGGTCTTCCAGACTGCTTTAACAGAAGTAGGCAGATCAATCTTCTATAGTTCTGGCAAAAGCCCTCAGACATGAGAGTGCCAACACCAGCAGCTGAAAGCCAATAGGGCACAGGGAAGTGGTAAGGTCCTAGGAATATGGATGTGGCACTGATGGCAGCAGCTACAAAAACCCATTGTGTAACTTGTACTCACAGCTCTTGGCTTTAGATGCAAAATTTTTCTCCTTATTTGCACCTTAATAAACAGCTTCTCAATTGTGCCTTAATGCACAGCTTGTCAATTATTTTTCCTACTTCCAGTCTCTGTCATCTTCCTACTGTCCTCCACAGTGCTGCCAAAGGATTTTTTTTTTCTTTTTTATGAGACAGGGTCTCACTTTTTTTGCCCAGGATGGAGAGCAGTAGCATAATCCTGGCACACTGCAGCCTCCAACTCCTTGGCTCAAGATTCTCCTATCTCAGCCTCCCAAGTAGTTGGGACTAGAGGCATATACCACCATGTCCGACTAATTTATTTTTATTTATTTTTTATTTTTTAAAACTTTTTGTAGAGAATAGGTCTTGCTATGTTGCCCAGGCTGAAAAGTCATGTTTTTTTTTTTTTCTGAAACACAGATTTGGGCATGCCAATCCTTTCCTTGAAAACCTTCTGTAACTATCCCTAGTCTATAGAATGAAATCCTTCCCCCTCTTCATTGTTTGGTCCAGCCACACCTCTCTCCCACCTTTCTCATATACACCATCACAGACCCTACTCTTTCACCAACTTGAACTTTTCTCATGCTATTACATAGGTTTGCAATATTCTTTCTCTACTTGGTAAAACCTGATGCACCCTTCGAGGCTCAACTCAAGGTTTCCTTCTCTGTGAATTTTTCTCTAATCTCTTCTAGGTAGGACTAATTATTTTTCCTCTGTTTATTGGTTGATTGTTCCTCTGACATAATAGTTATTATATTGCATTTTGATTACTTTCATATATGTGTCCCTAGATGTCAAGCTGTATGAATCATTTTTGTGTCTTCAATACTATGTACAGTACTAAATAAATGTTGGTTGAGTGAGTGATTAGTTAAGAGACTATTAAAGCTCATCAAAAAGGCAAAAAAAAAACCAAAAAAACAATGGAGAATGAAGTTCATATTCTTGTCAGTCCTCCAATGATTGGTCATCTGACTTATGAATGATGCTAGAGATAAATAAGTGGGAGAAATCAGATTCTTTTGAAATTATTGTGTAAGCAAATGTCAAATTTCACCACTAGAGAGAGAGAACCCTAGTGTAAACTTACGACATTTAATAGGAAACTGAGGGTGTGTATAGGATTTAAAACATTTTCAGAAGCTTGTGCCAACACCAATATAAAGGCTTCCTTGCGAATATGTAGGAGCTGATGGTTCTCACTTGAAAATTGTCAGGGCACATTAACTTTCAATGTCTGGTAGTGCATATTCCTGGTGGTGCAATTATCGGCTTCTGCATGGACCTTGTGTGTTAGTATGAGGCATTTATATTGTATGGACACACATTATTTTATTATTGTTGGGTGATAGCCTAGAATGTAATTATTCTTGTTCTCGGGTAACAATATGAAAAACTTAAAGCTTCTCATTATGCACGCAAAAGCTGGAAAAAACTATAGTTCTCCCTGAAGGCTGGACTCCTATAGTGTGGATCTGGAGTTAGGTAAACATTGCTGAAGTCTGTAAACTGCCCCCATGTAGTGACTGTCTAGGGAAGTACAGTGACAGGGATTGGAAAGAAAGATTTTGCTTTGTGCTTGAAACAAGACATTTAATGTGGACAAAACAGTGGGACTCAGAGACAGTTCACAAAGTCTATTCACAAAGTTTATTGGGTCTGATAGGATTCAAATGTGGTCTTGAAACTGGCAACAACAGTGAATGGTTATACAGTGATGTAGATAGTCTCCAGTACTTGATAATATGTTCGATTGTATATTAACAGGAAGAAAAAAAAAGTTCCTGCATTTGTGATGAAATTAGGTGAATTTTGCAATGAGCTACAACATAACAAGACATTCAAAGTCGCTTAAGGAACTGAGCTTTATTGGGGCAGAGTGTGGACACTGTTTACAACAAAACACTTCTGGGAAAACTTGGATTTCCCAAGACCTGAAGACTCCTCCGAGTTCTTACTGTTGTTAGTAAGGTTAATTTGGGGGCAGAACAGGAGCATGCCTTAGCTGCTGTCAGGAAATAGAAGAGCAGAGCAGAGTTGGGCATGGAGGCTCCAGCTCAGACTTGGGAAGATGGAGAAGAGCCATCCCAAGTCCAGAGTGAATAGGTTTCATAGCACCCATCTCCTCTATTTGAAGGAAGCAGACCCCTAAAGGGAAACACAGGATGCCCAACTCATGAGAATCAGACTCTCATGAGAGTCCTTTGATACCATGTGAAAACCATGACGGCAGAGAGAGACTGAGGGTGCAGCCCACCTTCCTGGCCAATGTTAAATCAGGAAACTATTTTGTTTAGATCAAAACATGATATTCTATTTTTTGGTCTCCCAAGGTCAGCCAAAGTTTGCTGACATGCAGAGGCCCCTCTGTGATCTAGTTGGAGTCCAGAGCTAGGGGAGTCCAGCTGGAGTAGAAGAGCCTGCAACTAGGAAGGGAACTGTTGTTTTGTGTATGGGGGTTCTTTTTGTATCAAGAGGCTTTTTTTGTATTGAGAGGAAAGGAAGGAAGTCATATCCCAAGAGGGCACTTAACCTTAGTCCTAATTCTAGGAGAACTAAGAAGGGCTGGGGCAGAAAGTTAAAGGGTCAGGGTAGAAGGATTGGATGCCACAAAGAATTACTGGGGCTCATTTTCCCCTTAGCCACTTCTTGGAGGAAGAACTCCATGGGACACATTAGTAAGAAAGTATACAATTATTCCTGTTTTATGTGAAGATTGGAATAAAAAGCAGTTTTGCTATTTAATATTACAACTGCTTTGTAGGAAGTGTGGATCCTGGTAAATGATGACTCCCCTCACCCCCTTTTTTTTCTGCTGGATCCCTAGGTGGCTTAGCTATGAAGATGGGTACTATGAGCTGCTGATAGTCAAATCATCCTGAGCAATTGAAGAATAATTTGAATTTCCTTTGGCAATCCACGAGAGGAGAAATTTTTGCCAAAGAGATAGGATAAGTGAGCATTTGAGACTGGGTGAACTTGATTCAGGTTAACCTGAATCTTCAATAGACTCATTAATGCGGAGTTTTGTTTCTTTGGAGTAAAATGGCAGAGTTTCATGTCCAGGCCTGTGAGAGAGACATAGTGTACAAGAATATAAAGGTCCACAGGTAGAGGAACTATGAAAATGGGAGCATGTTGCGTTGATCTTTTATGTCTGAAGGATGTGGAGTTGGGTGATTCAAGCCAACCTTAATCTAGCTCTGAAAAGGAGGCTGATCCTGGGTGACACTGGGTTACATAAGAACAATTTTGATGAAATGGTTAGGTCAGAAGCCAGATGTAGGTCCACTGAGGAGTGAATCAGAAGTCAGAATATAGAAACAGGATTGTGTGAATAATTCTTCTAAATCATGAAAATTACATTGAATGCCATTGAGTTGGTGAAATATCCTTCGGGTCTTGCATATATTACACTGTACTTAAAGTATCAGGATACAGCGGATACTGAGAAAAAGAAGAAAGAAAAGGTTGGAACATTTCTAGAGCAATATTTGTGTTTTGGATTTCAAATTCTCACTTTGTAGACCAGTAGACTAGATTTTCTTCTCTTTAGTTTAGGTGAAAAATGAGAAGATTAAATAAGCCATGGGAAGATTTTTTAAAAATGACATGAAACTTGAAGGGTAAAAAGTAGGCAAGCAAGCTTATACTCATGTGGGGAATGCCAATTTCTGGGTTATGGCTGGTTTCTGTTTTTTGGGCCCAAGATAGGATTCAGAATTTGGAATCCTATGAATAATTCCTCTCCTCCCCCAAAGTAGAACAACAAATACAACAATGGCCTATTTGTAAACTACATTCTTATGTTTTTAAACTTGACATACAATTTTACAAGCTGATTTCCATTAATATGTCATGAAAAGAAAAAGCCATATTGGAAATACAGTGCTAATGGCAAAGGTAATGGTAGGGGAACACTTAAATACTGTTAGGACTATGTATTTTATTAGCTACAAATAAAACAAAATGCAGAGGGGAAGGAGATGCTTTACAAATTCCTGAAAGCCTCTTCATTTATCTGTATATAACTTCTGCAGCAGGGACGACCTTTCTTCTACTCCCAAGCCCATACACCCTTTCTCTTGGTCTCAAACACACAGACATAAAATTTATGTGGGCAGTTTACCATTTTCCAGTTTTCATTAATTCAACTGCTTCATTGATTTTATCAAGACTCAGAGTATGAGTAATTAGTGGATCTAGATTCAACTTCTCTGCCATATAATCAGCAACCAGTTTAGGGATGTGCTCTCTGCTCTTCCAGCCTGGAAATACAGATTAGTGATGAATTTTATACATGAGGCTTCATTATGAAGGAAAGGCCATTTAAAGTAACTGCTGAAGATGCTGGCTTTGACTGAGAAAATCTAAGGCTATCCCATTTACTTGCCTCAGTCATCAGGAGAATGCCTACCCCAACCACACACCTTATGTAGAGGGTTGGGTTCCTAAAGGAGACTTATGGTACTACAGAGGATAATTAATTCAAAGCAGATAGACCGTGAACCTTGCCGTGAGGTGTTCCTGGTGTCACGTTGCAATCTGTGGAGAGCAGTGAATCCATATCTAATGTATAACAAAGGCCAAGGTCTTGCGAATCATGGAAAGAAGCAATTCAAATGTTAAATATAGCACATTTTTGTGTGTGTGCGCATGCCCTCATGTGTATGTTTTGATCTGCTGCTTCATAAAAGAATCCAATAGCTTAAAGGAAAAGAAGAACTCTCACTTTGGCAGTGGTCCCAGTGAAAGCTCTTGGGAAAAGAATGTGTACAAAGCAATATAAGAATAAAATGTGCTTTCTGGAAGTAGGAATTACACAAGCAAAGATGGAGTTAGCTAAGGTAAGATAAGTTTAGCATTGTATTTTCTCTATTCCCATGATTTTCAAGAAATGCATTAAATTTAGAACTCTGCTAAGTGCCATGCTCAGTGAGTTACCACACAGAATTTGGCAGTATGCTCATTGCTGGAAAGGGCGGGTGTGGTGTAATTGTGCAAAGTGTAATGTGGCGTAATCTGCTCAGTGTTCTATGCAGATTATTCTGTGATAGGATCTTGGCAGTTACTTGCTTTTCTTGGTTCCAGCTTAGGTTAGGCTCCCCAACTTATTCCCCAAACTATCACAAACTCTTCCAATATATTTATTTTTAATTTAAGTTGGTTTCTGTTATATGTAACCAAGAATTCTGATTACTGCTCTACGTCATGACATGAAGGGCCAGTGTATATATCTATTTGTTTTTATATTTTGATTGGTGATCTGATAAAGCATTTTTACATCTATATCAATCCCCCACTTTTTTATTATTTCAACCAAATGACAGGAAGGAAAATTCTAGGATCACAGACGGGACTAGGCAGTGTTTCTCAACAAGGACACTCCTGGCATTTTGGGTGGGGAATATTCTTTATTTTGCACATGGTAGGAGGTTTAGCAGGACTGCCCAACACCCATTAAATGCTATTGTTGATTGAAAATCATTGAACCAGAGGACTATACTATTTGTGGAATAAAGTAATTTACATTAATGATCACTATATGAGTGCTAGAGTGGCCAGTGAATCAGGTTCATTCACTGAGGGCTTTAAGAATATTGGTGATCTTATTTTTACAAGACTTAGCTGAGTATGTATATTTTGAATTAACATTATCATCTATAAATACAATAGAGAGAAATGGCAATGGATGTATTCAATGATCTTAAATAGAGGAACTAAAATTACAGTTATGAGAAGATTAAATAAGCCATGGGAAGAGTTTTTAAAAATGACATGAAACTCGAAGGGTAAAAAGTAGGTAAGCAAGCTTATATTCATATAGGGAATGACAATTTCTGGGTTATGGCTGTTACTGAAATTACAATTCCTCTATTTAATAGATTATATATATAACTGGATTATTACTACTTTTTTCTTACTGATCCTGCCATGTATCTACTCTTTATAAATGAGTTAGGCAAGGCTTCTAATATTCGTAATAACATGCTGCCATAGCTTACTTGGGGACTACAGATAGCTCCCTTGTGCAAGTAATTCAGGTACTCCTCTAATTCTCATCTCTTTTTGTCCAGGCATTCAGATTGCCCAGAGTTTCTGGATAAATACATTTCTTCATAAATTTCAGATTTCTTGCTTAAGAGCCCAGAATCTTAAGCAGATTTATTTAATTTAGTTTGTCTTCTACTTTTTCAATAAAATACTCTTCTAAAGTCTGTAAAAATGTTCCAGGACAGGTAAAAAACAAAACAAAACAAACAAAAAAACAAAATCAAAGGATTCTATGATAAGATATTTTTCATTGGGGTAAAATCATTCTTATTTTTTTATCAATAGTATTTCTTTTAAATCATGAATCCATTGTGTTTAATATATTTGAGTTGGTAGCATGACAACTCATTTGTTTGGGATAAGATTTTATATGAGTTGAACAATGACAACTAACGGCTAAGTATATCCTCCAAAGAATCCCAGCTGGCAGGTGTATAATTTCACTGAAATATAGTTATAGATTACAATATTGCCTTCTTTTCAATTTAGAGTTTGCTTTAAACTTTGGACACTGGATTCTTAACCAATCAATTAAAAAACCTCTTTTCCATCTTTGCATGAGAAAAAGCTTTCCAAGAGGAACTAGATACACCCACTATCCATCCCTTTATATTGGGTATTCATATATTGAAAAAAAATGTGTAATATAAAGCTGTTGTTTTATGTCCTTTCTTAAGCGTTTATGATATATTTTTCTATTTCCCACCTTCACCTCCTCAGGCATTTCCACCCTTTCCTGCTTCATCCATACCTCCAAAAACAGAACCCTTCAGAGAACGTCCTGAGAATAACTGGCCACTGATGTTGAGTTGACCACCGGCAGGCAACACCCCAACAACCACACAGACCCCATAGCTCTCATTGCAGGAGGCGAGGGCAGCTGCCTGTTATAAAGTGATGCAATACAGTACAGGGGTTAAAAAATGTATGTGAGGATTGAGCCTGCATCTTAATTTCAGCTTGACTCCTGAATGGTCTATGACTTTCTTTTCTGATTCTCCCTATTCTCATTTGAAATAACATTTATCTTGTAAGGATGCTATGAAACACATATAAGATCTTGTATGTTGCCTAGTATAGTACCTGGCATTTTAGGACTCAATAAATGGAAATAACAAAAATGAAAATAGTAAAAACATCCACAGTAGTGATAATAATAAAAATAATTTTTATAAAAATTATTACTGACGCAGGTGGCTGGTAAGAATTGACATTTTTCTTTTAGACAGCTAAGAAGACAGATATTTATATAATAAGATGCTAGTAAAGTGAGAAACAGATACCGTTACATTCGTTATGTTCAAAGGCTATTTCTCAGAGTAAGAGTGTGAGAAAGGTTTTGCTGTATCTTCTTACAATAAAGGAATTTATGTATGGTGAGTCATGAAAAGATTTTTTATGCTGGGAAAAGAGCCCTAGTTGGAAGAGGCAGTTGTTGAGTTTCCATACAGCTGACTAGAATACAGAGCCATACAACCCAATAATACACTATTTCTCCAAATCTCCAAAGAAAACAAGCCTCAGATTTTGAAGTAACTTCCCCTCAGTTTCTATTCTGTTATGTAAACCATGTTTAGCCAGAAAAACCACCACTTTTTTCCCCTTCAGTTTTGAAATGAACCCGTTTAATCATGACTAGTAAATATTTTTCTTGGAAACTTATATCAGATCTGACATGAAAGACTACTGAAAGTGAAAAGCACATTGATTTGTAAGGTCATTAATCAAATTTTAACCTTATCTTGCTTAAAACTTCTGGCTTTGAAATTATATGAAAGTTCTAGATTTAGTATCTGGGATAGTGAATAAATTTGTAGGATTAGACAGAGGGCACCAGCTGAGATGTCATGGAACACAAAGAAAATTAACTGGAGCAAAGTGGAGGGAATTTAAGAAAGCTCATCCAACTATAATCTAAAATGATGACTGGTAAAAGTCTTGGTAATTTTCACTCCAGAGGATTACATACCAGAGTGTCCAGATTTCCAATGGCCTCAAAGCAGAAGTCTATACCAGAATCTGTCATATCAAATAAAACTTCTTGAATGGGTTTCTTTAAGTCCAGAGGGTTGAGGCACTCAGTGGCACCCAATTCCTGTGCCTTCTTAAATTTCTCCTTGTTGACGTCCACTCCAATGATCCTGGCTGCTCCTGCCGCTTTACAACCCATGATAACAGACAAGCCGACTCCTCCCAGGCCAAACACAGCACAGGTAGAACCTGGAGTCACCTAAACACATACAGGCAGAAAACCCAGAAAACAAAAAGCAAAGAGAACATACATCTTTACTCATTTGGGAAGGCTAAGTCTATATGCATGTATTTTTTAATGAGTCATAAGCAAACGATGTTTACATACATAATGTATTATAACTAGAAAGTTTGAATTTTTAAAAATATTTCTAGATATGGAATACTCTTGTCACAGGAACAAAAAACTACCTGAAAGTAGAGTTTCAAGTCCTAGGAATTAGTCTGAGTAGTAGTTTAAATGAATTTTCATTGAATCTTAAGACTTATTTGATAGTGTATTTAATTCCAGATTTTTTGAGTTCTTTAAAATTATCTCTGTCTTCCTACAACCATTTTTTTCTCTCTCTCTCCCTCTCTCTCTTTCTTTTGGTATCTGTAAAATTTTCATTACTTATAGAGTCAATGTCTTGTGAAGGCAAAGGCTTTTTTTAAAAAAATTGAGTACTGTCCTACATAGGGCTGATTAAAAATTTTTTTTCCATTCTTTCTCTCTGTATAGTATTGGGACTGATGGACAAAATTCAACAGCATCTTTAAGAAGGGAGCTGGGAAGGTTTCAGTGATGTTTTAGAAATAAGAGTTCAATAGCAGCCCATTCAGCCAGAATGGGATCCCCTGGTCAATCTGTCTAATGTAGTAACACTTCCTTCATCACTTGGTTCCTTTGCTCTCTTTTTCTTTTTATTAGCATTTATCACTACCTAATATATCATGCAATATAATATTAACTTCATGAGTTTTGTTAGCTGCTGAATTCTCACACCTGGGACAGTAAATGGCTCCAGAAATATTTGTCTAAGGAAAGAAAGGATAAATTGGAATATGAAAGGCCACAGAGTCATGTTGTAACTATGTTAGATTTAATTTTCAGGAATTCCTGATATTTCCACTTGTGAATGGCATCCAGACTTAATCTGTCATTTACTACTGACCGAGAGGGAATGGGAAAAATGTTGAAGAGGGTGTGGGAAGACTAGGTAGATAGCAGAGAACTCAAGGATGTTTGGAGTCAGGCTTGGGATTTTTCCTTTGATATGATAAGACATGACCAAGATGCATGAGGCCTTTCAACTCCATATCCCAATAATTCCATTACAAATGGGTATAAATTCCCCTCACCTTGGCAGTATTGATTGCAGCACCAAACCCAGTGGAAAAGCCACAGCTAATTAGGCATACTTTATCCAGAGGAGCAACTGCATCAATCTTGGCAACTGAGATTTCCTTTATCACTGTGTATTCAGAGAAGGTGCTGGTATTACCAAAGTGATATATTGATTTTCCGTTGCAGGTAAACCTGCTGGTACCATCAGACATCAGTTGGGGTTTTGACTGTCTTTTATAGACAAAAAAGAAAAAAAAAATACACACACACACACACAAAGTTTATTTTGAGTTAGAAAGCTTAGATCTTCTCCAATGAAAGTGAATTAAGTTTTCAAAAAGAAAATATTAGTAAAAACTTACTTGACTTGTATACAAAAATTGCCCTCAGAATTCAAGCAAGAGGTACATTCTCCACACTGTGGCAGAAAGAGTGTGATAACTTTGTCACCTAAGAGCAAAATCATGCCTTATTAACATATCATTTTTTAAGGAAACAGATAGTTGTCTTTCAGGATTTTGAGAACAAGGCACCCAAGAAGAAATTACAGCTGAGAATTATTTCCACATTCAGTTGTTCTTGATACCACAAAGCAAATCAAATACTTACAAAAAGAGAGAATGTCTTCAGCATCTGGGCCCAGCCCTGGGCTCAGTGGCTGAATCTTGAGGAACTGGCTCCAGATTTGCCTCCTTTGTGAGTTCTTCTTGGAGTATCAAATAGTTTTTTGTCATATATCCATTCAGTCAAGTCTTATCTCTTCTTACATTTTCAACACTAATTTCCTTTCTCAGGGATTGAATTTAAAATAGTATGGATACCACATACTCACAGAATAAGTTCTGGATTAGGGAGAAAAAAATTGCTTCTATGCTGTTCTCTGTGTTTGACATCAACCCTTTCTTCTTGACCTTAGAGATCAAAGGTAGGCAGACTTCTCTAGTAGTGGTCAAAGTATCAGGACATGATTAGAAGAGCTTGCCTGTGATGTATTTTACTGGCTGCCCCCATGGTCTAACACTGTAAACCAGATAAATTTGTTTTATACTTTTAGTTAAAAACCTTATTAAGATTTAGTTTCTTCTATTTTATTTATTTTTATTTTTTAAAAAGTAACACATACATATGGTAAAAATTTAAACTGCACAAAAGTAAAAATTATCACTCTATTCCCCAGTTCCCCATCTTAGAGACAGGTACTCTGACCAGTAACAATGATATTTTTCAGAGCTGAAAAATGCAAAGGTAAGCATACTGTCTACCCTGGTTTGGGCCTAGCTTTTTTACTTAACACTCTATCATGGAGCTTTCTATTTTAATACATATAGTGCTCCATCATTAATCAGTGCCATGAACACTGATAGATATTTAGGTTGTTCTTTGTTTCCCTCCACCCCAACACTAAAACCAATAATGCAATGAGTATCTTGTTGTAGACAGAGTTCTAAAATGTCCTCCCAAAGATATCCTGCACAAATCCCTAGAAACTGTGACTATGTTGTGGTATCATGCCTGTGAGTATGTTATGCTATGTGGCAAGGGGTACTCTCTAGATGTAACTAAGGTTACTAATCAGTTGACATTAAGATAGGGAGATTATACTGAATTATCCAGGTGGACCCAAGGTAATCACATGAGCCATTGAAAGAAGAGCAGAGGAAGGCAGAAGAGGAAGTAAAAGTGACTTAACACTTGTGGAAGGATTTAGTGGGCCATGGCTACTTCAAGGCTGGAAGGTGCCACAGAAGAAGAAATGTGAACAATTTCACGGAGCCAACCGCTGGTGAGGAAATAAGGACCTCAGTCCTACAGCCTCAAGGAATTGGATTCTGAAAACTACTTGAATGAACTTGGAAGTCGATTTTTCTCCAGAGTCTCCAGATAAGGACCCACTTGGCTACTACGCTTTTGACCTTGAAACGTGAGCAGAAAACCCAGCCAAGCCCACTCAGATTTCTGATCTATGGAAACTAAGATAATAAATTTGTGTTGCTTTCAAATGTTATATTTGTGGTGATTTTTTCCAGCAGCAATAGAAAATGAATATATGAACATATATCTATGAAATAAGTTTCTAGAACTGAAACTATTGTGTCCAAGAATACCTACATTTAAATGATATTACATATTGCCACATTTAGAGTTGAGCAAATCTACAAATCCAGAAAATCTACGTTCCAAACAATAAGATATGAGGGAGCTGTCTGCCTATATTCTTGTCAACTCTACATATTATCAAACTTCTTAACCTTTGCCGATCTGCTAGATAAAAAGTGTTTCTTCAGTGCATTTAAAAATTTTACTGTACATTGACAAATTATATATTTATGGAGTACAATGTGATATTATGTGTATATAGTATGGGATGATTAAATCAAGCTAATTAATATGTTAAACACTTGAAGATTTATATTTTGTGGTGATAACATTTGAAATGTATACTCTTAGCAATTTTGAAATATAGTATAATTCATTATTAACTGTAATCACCATGCTGTTCAATAGATCTCAAAAAACTTATTTTTCCTATCTAGCAGAAATTGTATACCATTTGACCACATCTCTCCATTTTTCCCACCCCCCAGCCTTTTAAAATGTTATTTATTTTTAATATGTCTGAGGTTGGGCATATTTTAATGTATTTAAGAGCATTCATATATATACACACACACACATATGTATATATGTACATTTCTTTAAACTAGATATGTATTTTGTTTGCCCATTTTTCTACTCAGCTTTTAACAATTGCTTTTAAAGAAATTATTTCTATGTTAAGAAAATTGGTCCATTGTCCTACTGGGTTTTGACTTCTGGGGTTTTTTTAAACATGCAGAATCTATGTAATTTTTACATTGTCAAATTTATCTATATAAATATCTATTTTATATCTTCTGGGTATTTTTTTGTATTGATTAAAATTTTCTTCCCTCCTCCTAGATAATACAGTGTTCTCCCATGTTATTTTATAGTACTTCTATGGTTTTCCTTTTCACATTTAATTTTTAGATTCATGTATAATTTTTTTAATAAAGAATGAGATGGCAACCCAATTTACTTTTTTAGTCCAGATAACTATCTAGTTGTTTCAACACAATTTGTTGAATAATCTGTTTCCCCTCTTGAGTTTGAAAGACAAACCTCATGCTGCATTAACTTCTTATGTTTATTTGGATCCAATCTGGGACTGCTGCTTTATTTGGTTCCACTAATGTGTTTGATTGTTTATCATAATGCCTCATTTAAATAATTGTTCAATAATTATTTAAATTATTCAACCCTTTTTTCATAAATGTTTGTCTCATTTGTACTTTCAAGTCCAGTTTCAGTGCATTCTACTTCTTGTTTTCTTCTTATTTTCAAAATGTAAATGCAAAGAATACAATATATTTAGTATTTTATGTAACTTACAAGTAATTATCCCTCCTTTTCTAAGAAGTTGGCAACATTTCACCTTTTATTTCACTTGATCCTGACATACTTAAGGGGTGCTCATCATTTTCTTGATGTTGGTTCCAAGTTGTTGCTTTTTTCTATTACCAGGTGCTAATTCCTACCTGGTTTCACTGTGCTTACTCCTTCTCCAATACTCTCAACGATTCCAGCCCCTTCATGACCCAAGATGGTGGGATACAAGAGGTCCAAGTGTTTACTCCCCAATATTTTCATCTCTGTACCACACAGTCCGGTGGCCACAACCTGTATGGAAGGCAAAGAGTACTGCAGTTCCCACTGTTTCAGATAATGGCGTTTTAGAGTTGTTGATTGTAAGGCTTTTTACTAGTTTGATATTCTCCATTTATACACTGCATTCATTTCTTATCAGTTTTAATTCTAGGGAAGAGTCAATAATAATTTGTTAAAGCAATGAAATGTTTTTCATTAGCTGATTTCAGAATCAAGATTATGATTGAAAATTTACTGGGGAGGGTGGGTAGAATGGGGTCAGAAGAGAAGCTGTAAAATTACAGTGTGACTTGATGTCTGAGGTCTCAATTGGCTTCACTGAGCTTGTAGGTGGAAGTGTGGAGGAGAAAGACCAATTATAAAAATAAAGGAATTGAGCTGAGTGCAGTGGCTTATGCTTAAAATTCCAGCATCTTGGGAGGCTGAGGGAGGAGAATCACTCGAGGGCAGGAGTTTGAGACCAGCCTGGGCAAAATAGTGAGACCCCCATCTCTACAATAAATAAATAAATTAGCCAGGCATGGTGGCATGCACCTGTAGTCCAAGCTGCTTGGGAGGCTGAAGTGGGAAGATCACTTGAGCCCAGTAGTTCGAGGCTCCAGTGAGCTATGATTTTGTACCACTGCACTCCAGTCTGGGTGACAGAGTGAGACCCTGTCTCTAAAATGAAATAAAATGTAATGAAATAAAATAAGATAGAATAAAATAAATAAATTGGAACACAGGAGGCAAAGGAATAATGTTTCCTATTATAATATAATTAAAACATTAATTTATTTTACAAGTGAGCTTTATAGTTTTGTTATTTGTACAAGTCATAATCTCAGTTTATTGTAAGTTAGCCAGACAGTTTAAAATGAAGGCACTCCAGAACAGTGGTTAAGAGTTCAGGGGTGAAAAACTGGCTCTCCCCCTTCTCAGCCGTGTGAACTTGGGGGTAAATTTTTCTTTCTGGGTCTCAGTTTCTTCATTTCTAAAATAAATATGAAGTTTGCATACACGCAGCCACACACTCACACACACACACACTCCTTAGTCAAGAAATGAAATATATTGAAATTTGTGCATGTAAAAGGAGGATTATTGGAACAATATCATAAAATTGCCTGAATTACCTGCGACCCAACTGTAGAAAGTGCTGTCAGACCTCATAGACCTAGACATTTACCAAATAGTCCTTCTCTTTATCTCTTTACTTGATTCAATATGGGCATAGTTGCATTCACCTATTATTCTCTGCAGATCGGCTTTCTCCATTTATTTTGCTGATCATGGTTAAAAACAGTTACCAGTGATGAGTCTGCCCAACCTCACCATTGCCTGCCATCACTTACTCTGCTATAGTGCCCATATCTTCGTTCAAATTCACTGGTGAGAGCTTCAGATGTGTAGCTTGTCTGATAATGACTGAATGTCTTTGAGTGAGGGTCTAAACCTGGTTGCATGAGTTGTGACCCTGTGGGTGGGGAGTGGATGCAGACAACCCAATAGCCCACTGCTTACTCCATGGGGGATGTAGGGTGGAGAAGGCACTCTGAAAAGAAGGCATGAACTGTGCAGATGAGATGACTTAGAAAATGACTGTCTCTTTGTAATCTATCATTAAACAGTACTTCTTCTGTATTGTTATAATTAAAATAATAACAAAGGACTCTGAACTGCAAGTCAGGTAAACTATTTTCTAGTTTGGAGGAGGCCTATTAGAGCCATCTGGAAGTGATTTAAAAAATTTGCATGTCCAGGCTGCACCCCAGACTAATTAAATCACAATTTCGGAATTTCTGGGGATGGGACTTGGTTATCAGCATTTTTCAAAGCTTCCAGCTGATTCCAAATAGGTAACCAAGGTTGAGAAAAACTGTTCTCATCTCCTGCACTCAAGCAATCTTCCCGCCTTTGCCTCCCAAAGTGCTGGGATTACAGGGATGAGCTATCACACTCAGCCAGAAAAATTAGTCTATATTTTTATTCTACTAGCTATGTGACCAGTCACTAAACCGCAGCTGCTTCAGGCTTCGCATCTGTAAAGTATCGGGTTTCCTTAAGGCCCTTCCAGCTCCAACTTGAGTTTCCAGACTCAGCTATGATTTGTTTGTAATCAAACAATTTTTTATTCAAAATATTTCAAGATAAATATTATGAAGAATGCCATAAAAATTTACAAGTACAGATTAAGATAGGGTTTGAGGGTAGAAATTTTTTAAATTAATAGTTAGTACAATAGCTATAAATAAGCCTGAGTTTTATCCTTTGGGCAGTTAGCCTATGCTTTACCTCCCTAACCTTTTATCTGGCTGGATTTAAAAATTGATGGAAATGTTTATGAAAAAGAAATGCAAAGATATGCAGTTTTAGTTTTTTCTGAGTTGAATATCCTGAGAAGAATATGTAACTTACAGTAAGAAGCTCTGGCTTTTGGTGTGACTTTTTTTGTTTGTTCATTTTACCTTTATGCGAACTTCCTTTGCCTTTGGTGGGGCCACTTCTACCTCCTCAATAGAAAATGGTGCACCAGGCTTCCAGACTATGGCTGCTTTGCATCTTATAACCTGGGGAATAGAATATGGGGGCAGAAAGAGAAACTCCTTAAGTTTGGGAGTTGGAAGATTGCTATATTAGTGATATAGAATCACTAAATTGGATTAGTCCAATTTTCTGCACTCAAGAAAACAAAAATAATAAATATATGCTGAAGGTAGTCTTTCTGACCCCAATTTAAGTTTTCTTATACTATCAGCCTCAGTTGGTATTAGTTTTGCAAATACCAACTGTATTTACAAAATGTAACATGACCAAGAGGATAGATGTCATACTTTTAAAGATTCTAATTAAAAAAATTGTGCCTATTGGCCGGGCATCGTGGCTCACGCCTGTAATCCCAGCACTTTGGGAGGCCGAGGTGGGTGGATCACGAGGTCAGGAATTTGAGGCCAGCCTGACCAACATGGTGAAACCCTGTCTCTGCTAAAAATATAAAAATTAGTCGGGCGTGGTGGCGTGTGCCTGTAATCCTAGCTACTCAGGAGGCTGAGGCAGGAGAATCACTTGAACCTGGGAGGCAGAGGTTGCAGTGAGCCGAGATCATGCCACTGCACTCCAGCCTGGCAACGGAGTGAGATTCCATCTCAAAAAAAAAAAAAAAAAAAAATATTGTGCCTATTTGTGGGATACATGAAAAATTTTGTTACATGTATATCATGTGTAGTGACCAAGTCAGGGTATTCAGGGTGTCCATTACCTGAGTATAATACATTTTTGTTGAGTATAGTCATCTTACTCTGGTATCAAACATTGAATTTATTCCTTCTATCTTATTGTATGTTTGTACCTTTTAACCCACTTCTCGTCATCCTCTCCACTCACCCTTCCCAGTCTCTGTTATCTATTTTTCCACTCTCTACTTCCATGTGTTCACACTTTTTAGATCTCACATTTAAGTAAGAACATGTGATATTTGTCTTTTTGTGCCTGGCTTATTTCACTTAAGATAATGATCTTCAGTTCTATCCCTGTTGCTGCAAATGACAGGATCTCATTCTTTTTTATGGCTGAATAGTACTCCATTGTGTACGTGTACCACATGTTGTTTACCCATTCATCCGTTGATGGATAATTAGGTTGATTCTGTATCTTTGCTACTGTGAATAGTGCTGCAATAAACAGGCAAGTTCAGGTATACCTTTAATATATTATTTTCCTGTGGGTAGGTATCCAGTAGTGGGATTGCAGATGTCATACTTTTTATATTACTATGAATAAAGTGGCCTGGTGGCTGTTTCAGGGTAGGAATGGCATTACAGTGTGGGAGTTATTTGTGATCCTAAGCATGGGAAAAATCAGTTTTGGAGTGGAAGGGTGAGTTATGGAGCAAGGAATGGAGGCAATCATCAAATGGTGTCTATTGGCAGACTGAGGTTGGAGAATTTGTTGGTGGCAAGGTAGTTCTTAAAGGTTCTGATTTCAGGCCACCACTGTTGTCACTATAAATTCTCTTTCTGTGTAGTCTTATCTATTTTGCAGATTCAACCAGTACCTTTATGTGAGTAATCTATATTTATGGGGCATATTTCTCCCTAGGCTAATGTATTCATTTGCTGTTTGAAGTTCCTGGAGGTATTTCAAACTCAACATGTTAAAACATGAACGTGTCATTATTTCTTTTTCCCATTTCCACCTTCCTCCACGCTCTAGTAGACAAAACACTCAATATATTCCTCCCTCTGCTACCTCTATTTCAACTAGCAGCCGTGCAATGTGTTCACTCACTCAAGATAGAAACCTGGGAAGTAGCCTCAATTTTTCTCTCCCTCAGTCTTCACAGTCTAAATTTTTCTGGGATATGTCGCCTTTTCTCCACTCCTGCTACTACTGAAAAAGCTTCCTGCTTTATCTCTGTCTTGCTTTTACCACCTTCGAAATCACCCTTTATACCATTGCCATTTGAAATATAATCCTAGTCACACCAATCTCCTATCTAAAAATGATGTTGTTACCCTTTGCTTAACTGGATCCACTGACATCAGGATTCTCTCTCTGTCAGTCTCTCCAACCTTATTTCCTGTCACTTTGTGCTTCAGGCTTTACCTTTCAGCCCCCAAACATATTCTGAAATTTCTTACATGGGATATTTTCTCAGTCTCTGTATTACTCCTCATGTTGTTTTATCTGCCTGCACACACTTCTTCTTTACCTGGTGAATTCATATTTCTCCAGTGATTTCCCCTTTGGTATCACCTCCGGAAAACCAAACTGGGTTAGGAGCTTTTCCTTGAGGCTCCCATCCTCTTTCTCTTTACTATTCTTGTATATTGCTTTATAATTGCTCTTTTATAATTATTGTCTCTCTGTGAGATCCTTGGAGAAGGGGATATATCTTTGACTCTGGAAATTCTGATAAAGGGCTTGGACATTACTTATTGAAGAGATGAGAGAACTGAGGGAAGTCAAAGCAGATAAAGTGAATTAAGAAAAAGGGAGAGGAGGAGGAGGGGAGATACTATGATTATGGTAGCTTCTCACCTTTAGGAGCCCAAAGACTAGCTCTGGGTGATTAGATGTTGGTAAAGAGATGAGCACACAAACTGACAAAGATATGACACAACATAAAGAATAAGACTTCACCTACTTGGCCTGTAGTACTCATGCTGATTTTCTCCACCACGGACAAATTTATTGAGAAAGGGAGGTCCTGTCGCAACTTTCACTGTAGAAAGTACAAAGGTACACAGGTGACTGGTAGATCAGAAGGCTGGGTCCTGAGCTTTCTATGCAGTCAGGTGATTATTAAACAGGAAATACAGACTCTCCTGCTTCCTGAGGGAGGTTCCTAAGTGTAATCTGAAATAAGCTCAGCTCAATGAAAGAGCACAAAAGGTGAAATTGCAAACTATCTTTTTTCCCCTTAATCAAACAGGTCCCCTCTTAGTATCCACACTTTCGAGTTTTAAATTTGGACTTTTAAATGTCCAAACTTAAAGTTTCTAACAGAGTATATAAAATTATTTCTTTTCTGTTGTTTTCAAAATACAGAAATGGTCACATTTGTCTCTAAACTTGAGTAATTCTTTTGAGTTTCTGAATATAGACCCCTTGTTGAGAGATAAGGATGGTATCAGATTTTCTCTAGTAGTTTATCAAGAGCTCCTCACTCTTTGGTGTGCAGAACTGGTTACTCAGAGGAAGTGAAACTAATTTGCATTCAGGGCCTACCAACTTGGATTTGGCCCCAAGAAAATCTCTGTGTGTGGACCTGGGTCTTGAGCCAGGGCCCAAGGATCTTGATGAAGAAAGGAGATAAAATACATTTCCAATGAAAGGCAACACCAGGGGGAATGGCTTAGCTAGAAGACAAGAGAGAATAAGTAAATTCTTGTTCTGTGTAAAATGATACAATCATATTATTTTTTATTTTTAGCATGTTGATATGGTAGATTACATTGATTACTTTTCAAATGTGGAACTAGCCTTGCATACCTGGAAAAAAATCACACTTGGTGTATAATTCTTTTTTACATATCAATCACTGGATTAACTTTGCTAACATTCTGTTAAAGATTTTTGTGTCTATAATCATAAGAGTTATTAATGTTAGTTTTCTTCTTTTTTTGGCACCATCGTTGGTTTTGGTTTTCGTGTCACAGTAATTTTATAAAATGAACTTGGAAGTATTTTCACCTCATCTATTTTATGGAGGAGATTGTGTAGAACTGTTATTTCTTTTTTACTTTTTTTTTAGAGACAGGTTCTTGCTTTGTCATCTAGGCTGGAGTGCAGTGGTGTGATCATAGCTCATTGCAGCCTCAACTTCCCAGGTTCAACTGATCTTCCCACCTCAGCCTCCTGAGTAGCTGGAACTACATGTGTGTGTCACTAAACCCAGCTAATTGTTGTATTTTTTGTAGAGGTGGGGTCTGACTATGTTGCCCAGACTGGTCTGGAGTCCCTGGGCTCAAGTGATCCACCCACCTTGGCCTCCCAAAATGCTGGAATTACAGGCATGTGCCACAATTCCCAATCTATGTTAATTCTTTAAATGTTTGGTAGAATCTCCTTTTTGAGATGTCTTAAGTTATAAATTAAATTACCTTAATAATTGTAAGGTTATACAAATAATCTATTTCTTATTTGATGAGTTTTCATAGTTTGCAATTTTGAGGAATTGGTCAGCGTTACCTTAATTGTCAAATTTATCCGTGTAGAGTTGTTAATAGTGTTATTCCCTTATTATCTTTTTGATGTCTGCAGTGTCTGCAGCCATATTCTTATTTTATTCTTTTTTTTTTTTTGAGATGAAGTTTCAATCTTGTTGCCCAGGCTGGAGTGCAGTGGTGTGATCTCTGCTCACTGCAACCTCCGCCTCTATTGGGGGACCTAGCCAGCAGCCCGCAATACAATGGGACTCTCTCTTTGTTCCCAGGTTGATCGGCAGGTCGAGAAATAATAGACACACACAAGATAGTGAAAACTGGGTCCAGGGGGGTCACCGCCTTCTGGTCCTGCGGTACCAACAATGCGCTGGATATGCCAGCATTTATTATTAAGTTTAGTGAGGGCAGGGGTAGGCTAGTGAGGGATTTAGGGTCATTTGATTATGAGGTGAGATGGTCACATGGGGATGAAGTAATTCTTTAATGTAACATCTGTATGCAGAAATACAGTATACAGAGGTAAGAATTTACAATATAGTGTGTGCATCAGTAATTTCTAACAGAGCCTTAAAACAGAAACACAGTCTTTCCATAACCTATGATTAGCAAGACATTAATCAGCAGTAACAGTTGCAGCAAGAGCTGGATACAAACAATCCATAGTAACAGGATGTGAAGTTAGACAACGGATTAGACCAGAAATTCTCAGAAGGGAGTATGCCTTAACCCTAAAGAGGCCTGGAAGAGCTGTGGCAAGATGGAGGCGTTTATAGCCCTATCTTATCCATATGGACAGGCACCCCCCATGCATCCGCTTATAGGCTCTCCACGAGGGTCGAATTCTATTCCCAGGGCTATGAACATCTGCCTTTCTGGGATAGGAATCTTGGTGATGTGAAACCTCCCTGACTGCATGTCCATTCGTAGGCTCTCTGCAGGGGGAAGCACATCACACGCTGTTGGCTCATTCTGGCAGTCCAACCTGGCATTGTCTTTACACAATCCTGCATGCAATTTTGTATTTACAATAATCAGGAGCATTTCATCTTTTATTCGGTAGTAATAGTTTCAGGGGGTCTCCCTACACACCTCCCAGCTTCAAGTGATTCTCCCGCCTCAGCCTCCCGAGTAGTTGGGATAACAGGCATCTGCTACCATGACCAGCTAATTTTTGTATTTTTTTAGTAGAGATGGGCTTTTGTCATGTTGACCAGGCTGGTCCTGAACTCTTGACTGCAGGTGATCCACCTGCCTTGGCCTCCCAAAGTGCTGGGATTACAGGCATGAGCCACCGCGCCAGGCTGTTTAATTCTGAATATTAATAATTTGTGTTTTCTGTTTTTCTTAGTTTATTAATTGTATTAATCTTTTCAGTTGCTCTTGTTTCTTTGATTTTTCTCTTCTGTTTCATTAATTTCTGCTCTTATTTTTCTTATTTCCTTTCTTCTGTTTGTTTTAGTTTTGTTTGCTTTATTTCTTTTGTGGTTTATTTATCTCTGGGAACTGAGAGAAAGTGTATATAACCTAGATTTCTGAGAACTTAGAGGCCTTGCTAAACTGTGATTTGGACAATGAATAGGAGATAATGAGACATGGAGTTTGGTGAGAGTGGGGTATGGCATGGATGGATTCCAAAACAAAGAACTACAAGTGTGGAGGCTCAGAGACAAGAGAGCCTGAGATCATTCTTTGAGGGGCAGACTTTGGGGGAAGCATTGAAAGGACCTCAGTGTGATTGAGGCATTGAGTTCAAGGGGTGAAATGACAAAATGTAAGAATAACATGGAAGGTTGATGTAGAGAAAGGAGTCGTAGGCTGGGCGCCGTGGCTCACGGCTGTAATCCCAGCAGTTTGGGAGGCCTAGGTGGGCAGATCACCAAGATCAGGAGTTTGAGACCAGCCTGGCCAATATGGTGAAACCCTGTCTCTACAAAAAATTATAAAATTATTATATAAACATTAGCCAGATGTGGTGGTGCACCCCTGAAATCCCAGGTATTTGGGAGGCTGAGGCATGAGAATCACTTGAACTCGGGAGGCAGAGGCTACAGTGAGCCGAGATCATGCCATTGCATTCCAGCCTGGGCGACAGAGTGAGACTCCATTTCAAAAAAAAGAAAGGATTAGTTGAGAATCCAGGAGAATCTGCTTAACTGGTAACTGGCTATGTAATTCCAGAAAGTCACTGTACTTCTTTGGGTCTCGATTTCCCTCTCCATAAATGAAAGAGGCAGTCAAGTGATGTCAGAGCTTACTTCAGTTCATATCCTATAAATGCTACGTTCAAGAGGGTCCTCTAACAAATGGCTTCTGTTTGTGGAGTTGGAGTGGGTTAATACCGTTCTTGCCTAAGGGTCTTTGCGTAAGCTCTGGAGACTTGGTCTGCATTTTTTTTTTTTCCTCTCAGGGAAGTTTATCCCAGATCCTCTTCAGCACATTTTATTCTGTTACCACACATCATGCTAATGTTACAAAGGCAATATTAATGTTTTACCACTGGTGCCAAAATCAAATGTTCCTAAGTCGTTAAAAAAATAATTATCAAGTCAATTCCAATAAAGTATTTAAAGAGAAGTAGTATTTCCTGATAGCTCTTTCAGTAATGTAAGTTGCATGAGGTCTTTGTGAATAAGTAAATGAAAAATGCCTTCTTCCAGGGTTAAGTTCTGGAATTAGGTTTCAAGGTAGGGAGAATACTGCTTAAAATAAATTTCTAGGGCTCATTAGTAGTTACTACCTATTAGTCATAGTTAATGTGAGTGGCAGAAATGGCAGATTTTCTGTTCTTTTTATTGCTTCTCAACTTTGCAAAAGTGGGCATTCCATAAATAAAAGCATGCTTTCCATCAAATTATTATCAATGCCTATCTCATCTCCTCAGGTAATTAGATTTACTCTTTGCATTTTCCCCCAAAACTTTGGTGACTTTGGTCTTTAAGTATTTTTGAGAATTAATTAAAAAAAAACATGATAACTCTATGTGCTTTCTAACCTTTAGCTTAGGTTTTCTCACAGACACTGTTGTATGAAACATTGTGTTAGTCTGATGCTTTGAATATGAATACCTGCAATTTCACTAAATTCTCAGTGTGTTTATGATTTCCTATAAAGGTGAAGCTTCTAATCCACTGTTAGCAATGGAAGGGTGTCTTTTGCTTTTCTAGGAATAGTGATGGATGGATTTCAATACTGCCTCGCTATTGGTGACTGATGGAATGCACCCCTTTGAATACTGCCTGGGTGTAGGAGTCAAATATTTAGCTAAAGATTTTTAAAGACAGCTAATTAAAGGTAAATTTTAAAGTTCTATAAATCTATTTGATTATATTGTTATAGAACCCACAACACTAGTCTCATTTGCTCTGATCTCAATTTACATAGAGACACAAGTGGCATCACCAAGCTGGAAAGTGGCTTTAAGGTCAAACAAACTAGATGCTTTGGAGCTCTACTGATTTCAGCCAATCCACTCAATCCACTAGTAATTTCAACTGAAATGATTGTTGATTTTTGTCAGTCAATACTAGATGAGATTTCATAGCAGTATCATATACTTAGGCTCAGGAAAAGCAAGGTCATAGGCTAGGGAAACCTAGTTCTCTTTAGATATAAAAGTTCTTGCACTCTAATTTATTTAGATTAAAAATATACTTTAGAATCAAGACCTTTACATTCACTACTCAAACACAGTGTGGTCCTTGCAAACTATATTTTTTGCTATTTTCTATATGCACATTTTATTTTCTGTCCTATGGATTCTTGTCCCAATTTCTATGATGCTTTTTACCTAGAAGTTTGTGTTATAGATCTACAGGCTCCCAAGGCTTAACTCAGTGGTGTTTTCCCAACTCTATCCAGTTAGTAATGAGGTCCCTATGCCCTGAATCTTGAGTCTTAGCCTTTCTGACCCGACTTCACATCCAGCGTTCTATTGTAGTTATGCAGATATGTAGCACCGTAAACTCCAGGACTGATCCATCAACAACCTGAAGACAGTAATTACATTCAATTTTATCTAGAATAGAATCTTGTTGGTAGGTGCTTAAGGAATGTATGCTGAATAGAAATACTTCTGAAATGTCAAATAGTAAATGCTTGATTGAAAATAAACCCTTAGAAGTAGGTTTTCCTTTCTTTTTCCCTAAAAAGATGCAACT